CCTCCCCCCCCCCCCCCCATAATTCAAGCAATGAAGGAATGGCAAAAACTACCGCACTTTGATTATGATGGATTCACTTGTGCGAGTCACAGGGACGTTAACCCCACCAAACATTTGTTCCTACAATTCCAACAACTGGGAGAATACTGGGAATGATAGGCGACGGGTATGTTCCTACGCAAGTAGACTAATCGGCGGCCATCAACCAGGCTCGATTGGAAACGACCTCTCCACTCTGTCATATAAGCAATCGCGTTTTGTGCTATTTTATCGGCCCGTTCATTTTATCGGTGGTACATTGCTGGATGGCGTGACCACGGATGGTGCCAGTGAACGTTGCACCAAGTACGGGTATAGACTACACCTGAGACATCGACTACACGACAACAAACCAAAAACAGTAGCACCAGCAACAGCAACAACCACAAGAACAACAGCCAGCACCACTGCATAAATCGTGCTCCCGACACACGCTTCACCCCTGGCAAGAGTCTCAGACGAGCCCGGAGTGCGCACTTCTCACAACCCGACCAAAGACCGCGGCGTTGGCTGAAGTAACGACTCCCTCGTCTCCCACTTCATCGGATGCCCGACTTTTGCTCCGAAAATCCTATCTGCGGGAGGGCACGAAATCGATCTGCCACAGCGTTCAACACCACGAATTGAGTCCCTCTTCTCCAGTTCTTCGGGGGTCGATGCGAGTGGTTCGTCTTGCTTCTCAGACTCGTCGCTGGCGATGTCTTCCACACCCACGACGAGATAGGTCGTTGGCTCGCGAACAAAGTCCGCAAGCACCTGCGAGGAGAAGCGGTGGGGGCGCGCGGAAGCGCCGGGGAGGGGGGAGGGATTCTCGGCTGCTTCTTCTAACAGCTATTTGACCGAGGGTCACCCTAACGATGTGCCTGATACATAATAGAAGCGGTTTGTCACGGTTTTTGTAGTTTCCGGATCAAGGACCCTCTCTCCTGCGCAATTCGAGCCTCTCTTCCTTCAGACAGCACTTCTGTCGAGCCGAAAAACAAGAAGAAGCGAGCCGCCTGCCTCCGCATACACGTCAACACCCGTCCGATGCTTGTTTACGTGCTTGCTCTCTCACCCCAACGTCCGTGTCAACCAGCTCCTCCAGCACGGTTGTCAAGAAGCGGCTCAGCACCCGGGCTTCCGTCCGGACGCCTTCGGGGTCCGTTCGACGGTGGGGCCCTAGTGCCTGATCCAGCCGGTCCCACAAATTAGCTGCTCCGTGTGCACGCAGAGTCCGCACGGTAAGGGCGAGAGAATAGAAGTCTGGGTAGGAACGCCAAGCACTGAGAAGCTCGGTCTCAGTGCCCGTGACTACCTGCGTGGGGAGCAATCACCGTCGGGAATCCCCGCGCGAAAGTAGTAGGGTAGAGCGTCCGTTTGGCTGTCCAGAAATCAAGAGTGCTCTTCGAGACCTGAGGAGGAACGGGGTTGTTGCTACTGCTGTAATTCAGTAGTGTGCTTGGTCTACGATAATACATGCATGTCGGCGAGCTGGTAATACCGGTCTAGTGTCGCCCTACTGCAGGGGTCTACCCCTGACATGTTACTCAGTCAATAGCAACAACAACGGCGTGGCACGCACCTGGTACATGCACTCCCGCGACTTCGACCTGAACACTACACTTACGTAGATAAACAACATTCCGACGGGACTGGTTCGCCCAAGGACTTGAGAATACTCCCAACATGTTTCCTAAATTCCTACGTTGGAAAGTTGTACGGGAGTGCCCTCTACAACGTAAATACCTTCGGGAATGCACTTCGCGCCCGAGAATACCGTTACAAGTGCCGAGAGTAGCAATGGCATATCACGTCACAATAGAAAGACTCACGAGGTACTCCACATAGCGTTTGGACCAGAACAGCCACCTTGAACGGCAAACCAATCGATGGGCGTAGATGCCTATCGCAAGAGACGGTTGGTCCCTCGACGCCACGCTGAAGTCGGCTTTCGTCACGGCACAAGAGGTAATCACCTGGTTTCGCAGTGTGGGCCGTGGACACACGCATTCGTCGGGATGTTGCTGTACTCCTTTGGTAGCTGCCGGTGTGGAAGGGCCAGGTGCGTTGAGGGCGACTAGTGACGCACCCCATAAACAACCAGCATACCCAGTCGGGCAGGTATGTTTCAACAGCTCCTGTTGCGCGCTCGACATGCTACAGTAGTACAGTGCAGTGCCCACTTTCAACCCCCTTTGAATTCTGGCGCACGAGTACATCAGTGCCTTCTCACCTTGTCACTCTCTCGCCTGGATGGAGAGCGAGGTGCTCGCAAGGAAAGCAAAGCGTCTGTGTTGATGATAGTCTCGTCAACGCCACTTGCACCCTGATTGGGCGAAGGTGAGAGGGAACCAACGTAGGTACGCTTTGAGAGATAATAACTAGCAAGATATCAAAGATAGTTCCGGGAGTGCGTGCGTGGGTACCCAACCACCGGTTACCGGCACAGGACTCGATGCAATCTCTCTGCCAGACTAGGTGTTCATGCTCTGGTGTAAGCCACAACATCAAGCTAGGCCGTAGTAGCAATCGGCAGTACATAGGTCCCCGCTGATACGTTTGGAAAGATGTGTACAGTTGGTGCCCGCAGTTAAGAAACTCTTATTTCAGGTCCAGCCTCGAATTCTTATTGTGGGCTTTAAACTCAAGCGTATGTCGTTCAGTTTCTTATTTCAAGTTTCTTATTTTTTCGTGCAGTCAAATCCTGCTGAATTTCTTCAATCGGCAATTTCTTATTTCTCTGCTTGCATACTACACAACGTTCCAAATGTACAAATGATTTGCACTGCTTTCCTCGACCCCCGTACTCAATCCCGATTCTCACTACCGACGGCTGCACGTAAGGCCACTCCCTAGAAGCGAAATGAATCCAGCGGCAACGTCTCGCTATCGCTACAAGGTCCTGTACCCCCCTCATGAGTGAGGGCTGAAACTACACAAATGCATAACCACCGCATGATGCCTCACCCGCACGATGACGTGCCAACAACGAACACTACCCCGTCATTATGTTGCAAGCTCCGTGAGGCGAACATTGGGGGTTGTCACCCTTTTGCGCCCCCCGCTCCCTTCTTTTGGGTCTACCTCTAGGAGAACCCACGCCCCAATTGCGGCGTCTTCATCCGTGCTGTACGACTCCAACGGCATCTTCATGCTACGCGTGCTTTCGTCACAGTGCAGGATGACGCGGTAGTCGTACTCCTGCCGCGAAGCGGGGTGAGATCTGCGACTAATTACCCCTCCGAACCAACCCAACCGAGTTTCACGAGAACCCCACGCTTCACTATGGGAGGGGGGGGTCGGGGGCGAGGGGGAAAGAGCGAGAGAGCTGTGGGGGTTGTTTCTTATTCGACACACTCCCCCTGTAAACCCTCGTTTCTCATGTAGTAGGGCAGCGGTCGCCGCTCTGTTTCTTATTGAGACATTTCTTATTGTGTGACCCAGATTGAGCTATGTTTCTTAACCCTATTTTCGTATTTTTCGTGAAAAAGTGAGCCTCAATTTCTCGACAAAATATTTCCTAACTGCGGGCGCCAACTGTATGCAGACTTGGAGTTTGACACTCAGCTGAATGGTCGTCTTCACTCGCAGAGGCTGTGAGAATAAGGGGGCAGAAGAGGTGACGAATTTCTCTTTCCCTCAACCTTCGCTAAATTAAGGAAAAATAAATACACGCACAGAGAGACTACCCATTCGAGATAAACCCACAGTCGAATGGGATGTGCTAAATAAACCAGTATCCAGAGACACAGGAACAGGTTGAAGGCTCGCTTGCAAAAACCTCAATTTGTTATAAATGAGTCCTTCCATCGTTTATTGTCTAGGGCATTAGACTATATAGGGCCCATTGACAAAGGTCACATGTCCCAAAACTCACGTGGCAACCTGCTTCTACCTCCTCGAGCCAGCAGAACACGCGTTCAAGAGCGCGTGGTAGCGCACTGTTGTTGTCTTGCCTACATCCGGTCGGCTCTTGCAAGAACACGCCCTCCCCATTCTCGCTTTCCCAGAACCCAGAATGGAACGACGCTGTGCGCGAGGTCAGTAATGGCTCGATATCGAACCTTGGGGGAGAGAGTGAGTGCAGCAGCAGTGGCGGAGTGCTCTCAACAGCGCAGTTTTAATCGGCGTGAGTGATTGACCAAGATACTCAGCTCCGTGCATCTCACGGAAGGGATGTCTGCGCTTCACAGCACTCTGTAGTGCGGACAATCACAGCAGACCAGTACTACTGCTGTAGATGGGACTAACGCACAAACACACCCCAACCTTCGTTTTACAAGAGAACACCATCACAAAGATTTCTCTGGCGTTCTGAAGTTCATGTTCTAATGCAAGCGAAGGTCTCACATGTCCAACCTACCGTTCGAATTCGCTATTCACTCAACCTTCAACCATCCGCACCCCACCCACTACCCACCATCCGAACTCGTTACTGTTCCACCGACCATGCTCGTCCCTTGAAGAGTGCGGACTTTGTGGCTCAACGCGTAGTTGAGAGAGTGGACTCGGCATTATTCTGCACTCGGCACCACAGGTTGGGGTGTAGGAAATGTTAGCTCCTGCGTTTCGTCTCGAAGACAGTCACGTACTCAGTAAGTACACACGAACAGGATAAAAAAGGGGCACGTCGGCGCGTCGGCGCGTCGGCGCGTCGGCGCGTCATCCATTGGCTGCCGAATCGTTGTTGATTGTACCGCATTCCACCGATCGCCAACAGCCGACCGCGGGACGTACTCACCAGCGTTCCATATAGGCTGCAGGCCTAGTGTGCGGCAACCGCAGGTTGCCGCAACGACACGCCGAAGGCGTGTTGCGGCACTTGAGCCCTCCGTAGGGCCCCCCCGGGAGGGTGCTCCCCGCGTAGGGGCCTTCCCGCAGGGGCCGCTGGAGGCGATTTTTTGGACGATATTCGACACTTTTCTTGTTCTCCCGTGCCCTCCTCACATTGAACGAGATGCCATTACACAACAAGGTAAATATGTTCTCCCGCGCCGCACATGCCCCCATACATCACAAAAAAAAAACAAGTTGATGACGAAACTATACACAACCCGAGACGCGCTTGCTCCGCAACCGCATAAGGGTGCTATAACAGAACACCCGACAAACCGAATTCCCCTAAATCTTCCGTCTACAACTTCCCAAAATAATAACATACAGATAGATACACAAGATGGCTACCAAACTGCCTTGTTGAGCCTGTTACCCACAGGGGAGTTATCGTTGTATGCTGTCTGGGAAACCGTGGACATACAGGTAGCCTTTCGCTCACGCCATGGATTCATTGCTAATCTATCTTAGACGTATTTCTATAGATAGATAGAGATGGATTTGTTGTGTGATACTATGAAAATAAGAAAAAAACCTTCAAGAACAACAGCATCAAAGTGTCAATTACCATGTTTTCACCTGGTTAGAAGAAACAGAACATGCGTCTTATTATATCCCATCGAAAACAAGATGTATGTGACAATTTTCTCGCCTGCCGGCGAATTGCCGCCAATTTTTTTTTCGTCTAAGAGTTATGCAAAAAATGTGCGTTCTCAAAACCTCTGTTGCGGCAAGCCCCGTCTCATGTTGTTGCGGATATGTAGATCCCGCTATGCGACAAAACGTTGCGGTTCCGCAACGAACGCCGCAACGCCTATCTGGAATGCTGAACTCACCGAAAAGACTCCACCACATCCCGTTCGATTGTGTGGGTATATCTCGAACGGGTAGTCTTTCTGTGTGTGTATTCATTTTTTCCTAATAAAATGTACACAAACGGCAGTTTTGGGCAACCCAAAAAAATCGATAACAACCTGTGTTCGTACGTACATAGATACATACCGTAATCATCGGGGTCTCGGCGCATATCGGGGTCTTGGCACAGGGTGTGCGGAAAAAAAGCGGGCTCCGAATGATTTGCTAGATTGTCGCACAGGTTGTTTTTGTTTGTTTGTTTTTCTCCCATCATTGGACTCTGTCGTCTGCCCCTCTGGCCCCTATCCTCCACTTCTACTAGCTAGACGACCCAACCGGGGTCACATAGGAGGGGGGGGTTGGACCCCCTCCTGCGGTTCATGCCTGAGGTATTTTTATCGCGAGAAGGGTACAGCAATCCCTTCCCTCGCGACTTACGAAGTCGATTATGGTTTACTAACAAATTGTCGCACAGGTATCTATCGTCGTCTCCGCACACTGTGCGGAGGCGCCGATATGTGCGGTGAGGTTTGGCGGTAAGTGATACCCTTTCACCAGCATCTTGTGCTGGAAATTCCGGATACTGTGGGAGCTTGAATCGCGTGCTCCATTGCTACTGCTGCCCTTGGCACCATGACGATGTTCAAAAATGTGGTATTTGTACTCTTTGTTCTCTTCTTTTCGTTCTGAAGAATCAAGATCGGCAAATCGGCAAACGGCATCCACTCAACAATTCTAAACGCGATGAAACCAAAAACGAAGTAAAAAATCACACCAACCTACCACTACGAGCTACCAACGTCCTTCTATTGTGCTTCCTAGGCGGGTTGAACTTTACTTCGTGCCCGCGCCCCTACCATCGAAAAACATCCAATCTCACTGGCAATCCCAAAGAACTATGATTCAAAGTTCGACTACTTCTCCTTCGGCGCCCCCGCCCCCCTGCCCCTCCACGACTTCCACGTCGCTGTCGCCCTCCAAGACCTCCACCTCGCTNCCCTCTACGACTTCCACGTCGCTGTCGCCCTCTAAGACCTCCACCTCGCTGTCGCTCTCATCAGCGACGTAGGGCAGCAGTCCCCTCGACCTCCTTCTAAGCAGCCGTGATGGGGTTGGAGTCGAAACCCCCTGGTACCTTCGGCAGCTTGAGCGGCGGGAGAGTCACGTCGGGGTGCTCAGTGAGCCACACGGCGTGCTGCTCCTCGAGAAGGTCGCGGTAGTCTTCCCCGAAGTTGTGCTCACACCAGGCGTGGTCTTCGCTGTCGTCGAGCGCGAGCGTGAGACCGCAGATCATGAAGCAAGTCTTCACCGTCTCGGGGGTGATGGACTCCCACGCTTCCTTGCACCACTTAGGGACGACCCCACGCTCCGGTGGCTTCAGCTACCCCGACCGGGCGTCTGCGACCGCCGACGCGCTGTAGGCGGTGTACTTGCCCCGCAGCAGCCGCTTCATCTGCTTGTTGAGCATGCGGTCGAGCCGGTGGAGCAAGGGCGTCAACCCACTTGGGATGAGGATGACGATGGTGTTTGCGTCTCTGTTGAGGGCGCCGATGAAACCCTCGTCCTTGTGGCACTTGAAGTCGTCCAGCACCAGGATGCACGGGCGCTGCTGGACGACGCTGCCGTTGTTGTGACGGAGCTTCCAGGTTCCTGAGATCCACCCGTTGCACTCCCGCTGGTCACTCCAGCTCTTCTCCTGCACGCCGAAGGACATGCCGTTGGCAGGGTGGCCGTGCTTGGCGCGGTTCGCAGGATGGATCTCCCACGCGACGGAGTTCTTCCGCGGCAGGGTGCTCTTGCCCTTGCCGCTCACGGTCG